TATTTTATATTATTTATATTATATAAATCACTAACAAACATATATATTTACTCTACGAGGATGAAACATATAAAGAATGAAATATTTTTAAAAATTTAATTAGACATTTTTAAAACTGAATATTTTTTATTTAATGAACGTTTTTCATGCATAAAACGTTCCGAAATATTGAGAAATTGTTTGCTGGTCATTATTGAACATGAAATTAGTTTTATTATTCAAAGTACATATATTTTTTCAATGAAACGAAACACAAATTTCATATTCTACTGTTTTTAAAATTCATATTTTTATAAAATATGATGGTAAAAACTAATTAAACATATTAATGGTAAAACATTTATACTAAGAAGAAATGGTTTACCTCCTTCTATATGAAACGTTTCTATTATTACATTTCCAAAATTAACAGTATTTATTACCTTTCAATATTGGGGATTTTACAGATTTGCCCTTTTTTAGATTAAAAATTAAACTTTTATTATTATTATTATTATTATTATTATTATTATTTATTTATTTATTTTCTAATATAAACTCATTTAATCTTAACCATTGATCAAGAAAATGGATGAATAAATTAGTTTGTAAGGTTTTCACAAATGAGGGTGGTTTTCATTCTTTATATGTTTCATCGTTTATTAGAATATTCCTTGTTTTAAAATTAGTTTGATTAGAAATTATTAAGAGTCCAATCATATTTCAATAACCGTTAATGAAATAATTTCATATATCGTTCACTACTACATGTCAAATGATTCATCTTTCATTGTAGGTGACAAGAAGTCACATGAGTTAATAACATAAACAGTGAAACAATTTTATTCATTCATTTAATGAAACAATATATTTCTTTTAGTATTCAAAAAGTTTCATTATTTTTTGTTGATTAAAGTATGTTTTTATGTTTCATAATTTATTAGGATATACCTAGTTTTATTGCTCCTTACTTGGATTTATTTTTAATGTGGATGCTATTTTATTTATAATATTTAGTCATAAAATGAAGATAATTTTTATCAAAGATATAATTTGTCAGATAATTATAATATTTTTGGTTAAAATCTTTGTAATGATAAAATGATACATAGAGATTTTAAAAGAATAATTTTGTTTCATTAATGTTAGGATATCCATGATCTTGTTAACTCGTTTACAAAATCATACAAATTAAAATTTTCACAATTTTGCCTTTTTTATATTAAAAATTAAACTTTTATTTTTATTTTCTTTTTTATTTCCTAATATAAACACATTTAATTTTGACCATTAATCAAGAAATTGATGGATGAGATTGGTTTGTAAGGTTTTCACAAATGAGGGTGGTTTACAATTGATCGCTTCTCTCTCTCTCACTCTCTCTCTCTCTCTCTCTCTCTCTATATATATATATATATATATATATTTTTATATATATATATATATATATATATGAATATATAAAATTAGATACAACAATTAATTACAGCTTGCCTTGAATTTCATGGTGCTTATGCATATAAATATAACTCTCCATCCATCCTTTTTACCTCCAAACTATGCTTAAAGATGATAGGGTGGGAAGACGTTTACAATGTACTCTCTGCTATTTTTCCACTCTATGTAGCACTACTCTTAGGCTACGGATCCGTGAAATGGTGGCACATGTTCAATCCCGACCATTGTGATGCCATAAACCAACTCAATTACTACTTCATCATGCCTCTCTTCTCCTTCGATTTCACAAGTCGCATCAACCCTTACAAAATGAACTATCTGTTCGTAGCTGCAGATGTTATCTCTAAAACCCTCATTCTCTTCACAATATCTCTATGGGCTAATTGCAGCATTAAAGGAAACTATCCATGGTCTGTTACAAGCTTCTCTTTATCTAGCTTGAATAATTCTCTTATCGTAGGGGTTCCTCTTATGCGAGCAATGTACGCGAGTTCCGGGGAGAATCTTGTCATCTTGTCTTCCATTTTGCAATCTTTGCTGTGGAATATGTGTCTTCTGTTCATGCTGGAGCTCTATCGTGCGAAGAAACAGTTGGATTTAGCAACTGCATCAACCAAATCAGCAACAGATGTTGAGAATGATGGTGATGGAGACACAAGTGGGACGACTTCTGTTTTCATTTTATTGAAGATTGTTGGAATTAAGCTCGCGAAGAACCCCAACTCGTATGGGTGTATACTAGGACTTTCATGGGCGCTCGTATCATATAGGTATGTTTATCTTTGATGATAAACGATTTAACCGTCCTAATGAAATATTTTATAAGACTTAAGTTCATATGACAAAACCAAAAATCATAATATCTAAAAGTGTTACAATAGGTTTTATATGACACGTTTAGACGTTTCAACAAGTTTTTAGAACACTTCTAAAATAAATTGTCGTATTAGCTATTTTATACGACACTATTTGAAAAAAGTGTTCTAGAAACACAAGTGTCCTATAAAAAAATGAGTTTATAGGATGATTCTCAAAAGTATTATATAAAATAACTAATACAACACTTTATTTTAGAATTGTGCTAAAAAAAGGTCCTATATAACCTATTGTAACAATTCTAGATAAGACACTTAGAAGTATTAATTGTTATTTAAACTTAAGTTCTATAAAGTATTTTATTATAACACGCTAAGTGTCATATAAAACCAATTCATTTTATTGTAGTGAGTACATGTTTATTTACTTTAATGGGAAAAATCATATAGAATTCGTTCTCATGTTTACTACAAATGAACGTACATCAAATCAGGTGGAATCTAAAAATGCCAACCATCATAGAAGGATCCATACTCATCATGTCTAAAGCTGGTTCAGGTGTTGCCATGTTTTGCATGGGTAAGTATAGTTCAAATGTTGGCGCTTTTAGTTAAATTATCGGTCTATTTTATGTAATTGGATTCACAAAAGAATACATACCCTTTGCATGGTTCTAGCTAGGATGGTTACCCGTGGGGGTTTATCTGATGAGATTCAGATAGCGAAACTACCCGTTGATGTGCTATCAACCGATAGTGATCAAGTGATGACCGCTAATGGTTTCCCACTGACAAGTTGATGGTCATTTCCATTTGATAGAAAGATATTCTCAGCATTAATATAGGATCGGTTATGATTCTCTGTTTAAAATTGGCACGGAGGGCCTTTTAACTCTGTTTCTTTGTGTTCTTGATTTCCTCCAACATCAGGTAGGAACTATGTTGCATTTTTTATAGTCTGACTTCTTTTTTCTTCCATATCTTCTGATTGAAATACGTTGAAACGAGAAGTCATGAATGCGCACTAATTAGTTCCGAGCATGCAGGACTATTCATGGCGCTGCAAGAGAAAATAATCGGTTGTGGTCTTATGCCGACTGTATTTGGGATCGTATTGAGGTTTGTGGTGGCACCGGCAGCGATGGCTGTTGGTTCTTTTGCTGTGGGTTTGAGAGGGGATGTCCTTCATATTGCCATCATTCAAGTAAGCATATACACCAGTTTGTCTTGTTCTTTCAAAAAACTTGGCCATTTTCAGTCTTTCAAGAAAATCACAAAATAATCCCCAAATAACCTCCCACCTTCAATTCAATCCTAAAAGTAAATGGAAAATAGCCACATGAAGATGCCACTTAAAAAGGAATGAACCTACAGAAGAAATGGTAAAAAGAACAACAAGAAGCCTTTGTAGCTTACACCAATACCTAATCATTCATATATCAATGAAAGGTGTCTTCAGAAAAAGCTTCAGGTGCAGAGGCTTGTAGTGTTTCCAAATATCGTTTTATGATAGGCAGGTTTAAAGGAGAACGTGGTTCAAATAAACAACACAAGAACACGTGTATCGAATATGAATTTACACTGAAATCACATGTGATTATGAGCAATACTATAGTTGCCTTGCACCTTTGTATTGAACATATTCAGTAATCACATGTGATTTTTAACTGTAATCACATGTGAAATAGTTGTTCTTGTGTTTTCTTATTTTGACCCTCTTATCAATTGAAACAAACCTGCCCTAACACATGCACACGCACACGCACATGCACACCCACCTATATATATGTATATGTACACACATACATTTCATTTATGCAACTCCCTTGATCCATTCAACCTTATACGAAACTATGACAACAGTACCTCATCGTTCTTGATGTGAAAATATGTGAAATCCCATATTTACTCTCAAAAAGAGCACCCCATATTTACTCTCAAAAAAAGCACTTGAGGAGAGAGCAGAGGTTCCAACATAAATGGTTCAAGTTTAGCTAACGTGAGGCTCTAACAATCATAGTCGTTCTTAATGTACTTATACCCGGCGTGGGGAAAAAGACTCCATCATAAGAAATATATAACATTTTCATCGACATGGGCCAAACACAGATCTATTCGATCAGGTATCAATAAAGACTATGTGATATATGAACAATTAACAAGAAATATCAGATTTCTCTCAAGTAATTTAATGATATTTCAATGAGTTTCTCTAAGCTTATGGCATGTTCGACTCAATTGATTTACAGGCTGCTTTACCACAATCCGTTATATCTTTCGTATTCGCAAAGGAATATGGACTCCATGCAAATGTGCTTAGCACCGCGTAAGTTATTTTCCATCAATTTCTAATTATCTTTTCACTTAGGGCCGTTTACCAAACACTTAACGGGTAAGCACTTACCTGCAAGAAACATCACCCTAACTTACCTTTTACGTGTAATTACATTCTCGGTCATCAAAATTGATTGTTGGTAAGCTTTTTAATTAAACCTGGTAAGACGCTTAACGTGTAAGGGTATTTTCCCTCACTTACTACGTAAGACTCTCGGTCCTTGCTATGCTTATGCCTCTTACCCGGTAAAATTCTCGATCATTGGCATGCTGATAAGATTAAGTGTTTACCCGATAAGTAAACAGCCCCTTAATATAACGATAAAGGCTCTTTCATAGAGAGAATTAATTGGGCTTACATATCCTGACTTTATGGTAGCGTTGTTGTTATATTTTTCAGGGTTATCTTTGGCACAATTGTATCCATACCGGTGCTTCTTACGTATTATGCTGTTCTAGACCTCTTACATGGCTGATCGTCATCCTTCATCTGTGTTGTCACGCGTTAATAATTATGAATTAGATCGCGTAAGTTTGTATCTATTACGTACCGGACATCTAGATTCGACATTTTTATCGACTAGAACTTGTATTTGTTATGCATTAAACCATGTTTGTGTTTAATGATCAATAAAATAACGAAGTTCTATACCTAATATAGTATGTGATCGACGGAAATCTCCGACTTCACACAATTTACATCGAAATTCCCAACAAAACGTGAAGACCGTCAAGACGAGATGTTCTAATTTTTTTGGAAACCCTGTTGCAGATGCATCAAGACTATATATCCATGTGATAGGAAATAAATAAAACAAAAAATGTGAAGTTAATTTATACCACATATTAAAAGTCTTAGCATAACCATAAGGGTGGTGCCTGATTGGTTTGAGCTTGACTTCAAAGATCAAAAGTACTAAGAGGTCCGAGTTTCAAATCCAAGGAGGAATAAAAATTCCCTTGTGGCCATGGAGGTTCAAATGCGGTGACTCCGGGCTACCTGCAAAACAAGTGGCCGTCCTGGGATTAGTCGGCTCGTATAGCGAGTTAGATATCCAGGTTAATAAAAAACAGTCTTGGCATAAAAAAAAAGATTTTAAAATGATAAAAGTAACATGAGAAATTCACTCATTCTCCTCATTAACATTCTTTAAAACTACATGTTCAAATATGTTCGTTAACGTATGAAACAGAATGAACCAAACAAACCTTGTAAATCTTCAGAGCTCGAAGAGGGTTATGAACAAACTACATATTCCTCTAACCCCACCATTTTATTATAACAATTGTCGTAATAGAATTGACGAACAATATTTTGTTCGATCCCATGTTTTATCAACGTAGATTACAAATGTGATGCATCGAGTCCATGAATCAGCAACGATCCGAACTGAGTTTTACTATAAGATCTAAACTATAATTGTAAATTTCGATATAAACTGAATCGATTGGTTACAAATTCTTCATACTTTATCAAATTCTATCAACACGTAACTGTCACCAACAGACAGTCCATATTATGTACTCAAGAGGTCTAACACAACATAATATGCAATCAACACGGGAATGGACACAATGGTGCCAAAGATGACCCTGAAAATGAAAAGATACGAAAATCAACTTTTACTTGCAATATATCATATCGTTTTGGCATGTTTTGATCGTTTAATGTAAATTATGAAATAATATATAAACCGAAAGCGAAAAAACTTACGCAGTACTAAGAACACTTGTATGGAGTTCATATTCCTTGGCAAAAACGAAAGACGCAATTGCTTGAGGTAGCGCAGCCTGCCATACGAAGAAACAACGAAAAACAAGCATCTTATTGTTAGAAAATGTTGAAGCATCATAGCGATAAATGTAAGAGTCGTATCATTTTCTGTAATCCTCCACAATCATCAGATACTTATGGATTGTTTGGTTGGTTTTTCATTAAGTCCTACATATATAAAATTTTAGGTTAAAAAATGATTTGAAATTTTTTAGGTTCGTGAAAGGTGCAACCGTATTAATCTGTTGTGTGTCACCGTATGTATTTGAAACTACAATGAGAAACAGGTTTTATTTGGTAGAGTTGGTTTGCAAGACTTTTATTCCAACCCAGACCCAAGTTGGAATCGTGTTAGTGTCATTTTCTTAGTCAAATGAAGCGACCGTTTAATAAAAATCCGTATGTTTGTTTCTTATAGTCAAATGTTGATACTCTTTGAAAAATTTTCCCTATAGTTTTTTCTTATAGTCAAATGGTGTCACCGCTTGAAAAAATTTCTAGGTTCGTCCCTACAAATGGATCCGACCCGGCCCGGGACCGGCGGAGGACCAGGACTGGGACCGACTTAGGACCGGCCCAGCCCGGGACCGATCAGGACCGGTTTGGGACAGCCGGGTATGGTTTTCATCCAAAACCAGGGTCCGGCCCGGGACCGATTATAGGCCCGGCCGGAATTTTTTCAAAAAATATGTATTTTTATATGTATTTCTAGCATTCTAAGTGTATTTGACTGGAAATCAAATTGTAAATTTACAATAAAACATATTTTCAAGTGTATTTGATTGAAAACCAATTATAAAACTATAATAAAACGTAATTTTTAAGTGTATTTGATTGAAAACTAATTATAAAACTACAATAAAAACATATATTCTTTAAGTGTATTTGAATGACCTAATTAGATATTTTAAAGTGTATTAGAATAACATTAAAATATTTTTAAAAATTTATGAAAAAAAAATTTAAAAAATGCTTTTTTTTAATATAGGACCGGTTTGGGCAGGCCAATGACCGAGACCGGTTATCATAACCGCTTACAAATATCCTTAATTGGGTCTTAGTATTTTCGACGAGACCGGTCCGGATTGCTACTGTTTCAGTCCAGGACCAGTTTTTGGCCATGTATACCCCGAAGGCATTTCTATTAGATAAAAATAAACTAAAACAATAAAAAAAAATGAACATATATTTAATTTTAACACATAAATTTGTTAAATTAAAATATAACAAAAATAATTTTTAATTAATATAATAAAAAACAATATTTGTATTAAATATAACTAACTAAGCATTTACATATAGAGTTATATTGATCTTACAAACATTAATGGTGGGACTGGGCTGTCATTTTTTCAATTAATTTAAATTTCTTTTTTAACGTGTTAAACATTAATTCAGTAGCTTAATTGCCTCTAACGTTAAACAATCGATCCCCTTAGATTTTGAACAAATACTAAAAGGTTTATTAAATTAGTTTGTAAAATCGATTGTCTGTTGGTTAGTTCATTGTTTTTTTATATGTGAGGTTTATCTTCAAGTCTCTTATTGCAATTTTTTTTAAAAACATAATATATCTGAAATTAAAAGTTAAAAACTAAGAAAATGACACTAGCATTATTCGAACTAAGTCTAGGGTAAAAGAAAGCCCTTACAAACCAAGTCTACCAAGGAAAACTTGTGTTTTCGTTGTAGGTTCAAAACATATACGGTTGTGCACAACAAATTAATATGGTGACACTTTTCACGACCCTAGAATTTTTTACACTACGATTTATGAATAATACAGTGTCACGGGCCACCGTATGTGCTACATTGGGTCCGTCCATGGCTAATGATCACCGAAGAACATCAAGTGCATCAAGTAGAACCAAATCAAACCAAACGATTCTAACATGTCCCATCTGGAAGTATAATCTGTGGGGATGGGATCGATGTATATATGGAGACATTTTCTCTACCAATGTAGGATGGAATATAAACAGTTTAAAAGAATACTGTTAATGACATGATTAAGGAGAGGATAATAATGTACTAGTGAAGCTTACCTGAATAATGGCAATACAAAGGACATCACCTCGCAAACCGACAGCAAGAGAACCGACAGCCATCGTTGCTGGTGCAACCACAAACCGCAGTAGCATTCCATATGCAGTTAGGGTCGCACCACAGTCTATTATCTTCTCTTGTAATGCCATGAACAATCCTGCATCATGGTTACAAATTTCAGCAACTCTTTTTGTGCAATATTTCATGCAAACTCATGTAAATGGAGACAGGAAAGTAGACTTTAATTACTAAAACAAAATTGAGTTTATAGTACGTATAAAGTGTTTTAAGCGTCTAAATAGAGTACCTTATAGGACTAAACAATAAAGCGTCATATCTAAAAGTGTTACTATAAGTTTAGAGAACGCTTTTATGCGTGGTAACAAGTTTTTTAGGACCCTTTTAAAATAAAGTGTTATATTAACTATTTTATAGAATTTTATTTTTAAAAGTGTGCTATAAACACAATTGTCCTATAAAAAGATGGAATTATAGGACACTTCTCAAAATTATCCTAAAAAATAGCTAATACGATGCTTTATTTAAAATGGTCCTAAAAAACTTGTTATGACGTCCAAAAGAAATGATCGAAGTCTAGAAGATGTGATCGGCAATTCTCACCCATGCAAAACATAGCGACGCCTGAACCAGCTCTGGACATGATCTGTACCGATCCATCTATGATACTTGGCATTTTCAAATTCCACCTGAGATCCATATATATATATATATGCAATCCATTTAGAATACACTAGAAACAACGTTATTTAACGAATAAACTGTATATATATCAAGGAAAACGACTTACCTATTCGATACAAGTGCCCATGCAAGCCCAAGGATGCATGCATAAGAATTAGGGTTCTTAGCAAGCTTTACACCAACAACCTTCAATAGAATCAATAGAGATGGTCTTGTCGGTATTGAATCCGCCTCAATATTGCCTTCAAGATCCGTTGGCGATTCATTTGGTGTGACTGCTTGATCCAGCGATTTGTTTACACTCCGGAACGCATACATCACCAGTAGGATTATAATCCAAATCGTAAACTGCAAAATCGACGATTGGATGACAAGGTTCTCTCCGAAAGGGCCGTACATTGCACTCATAAGGGGCACACCTACAACAAGTGTATTATTCAATGTAGACAAAGAGAAGGTTGTGATTGACCATGGGTAGTTTCCTTTGGTACTAAACTTAGCCCATATGTATATTGCTAAGAGAATGATGGCTTTGGAGATGCCATCCGCCGCTAGGAAACGGAAGTTCATTTTATAAGGATTGATGCGCGTTGTGAAGTCGAATGTGAAAAGGGGCATGATGAAGTAGCAATTGAGCTGGTTTATTGCATCACAATGGTCCGGCTTGAACATGTGCCACCACTTCACCGAGCCATACCCTAAGATCAGTGCGGCGTAGAGCGGAAACATTGCCGTGATTACTTTGTAAATGTCTTCCCACCCGATCATTTTTGGTATGTAGTTTCTTTTTCTTGGAGTTGTTTGTAGTACTGATAGAAAATGAATCGAATAGTTTGTTTGTACAGATATATATACACATATAGTGGACGTAGTCACGTAGAGGTGACAAAGAATACACTAACCCAAGTTGAATGACAGGAAACAACTTGGAGGTTTCGATCCATAGCAATATCTTAATTATATATGGAATTCCACTGAGTTTTTTTTTTTCTTCTTCAAAGTTCAAACCTTTGCTGGTTTTCTCGAGTCCTGATTACATCTGTGGGTGGATTGGACATAATTCTTGCCACCACAATGAAAGCTTTTCGATTTTCCTTTCTCTTTTAATACCCAATAATCTGTGAGAATGATGGAATGAAGAATAAAACAAAGTTTTTCTTACCAAAATGTGCATACTAATCATTGAAAAAACTCAAAACCCTAAAAGGCCAATAATGGCGGTAACTTATGTTTTTGGTTTTAAATAATCTGGGATCGCAGAAAAATGGGCATCCACAGTGGTGAGTTATGATCTTCCGTACATTTCACATGTACCTTCTCAACTCCAGACGCTACCCTCGAATATATATTATTATTATGGTGACTCTTAGAATATAGATTACTCTCCAAAAAAACCTTTGCGGAGAGAATTGAAGTTCCATATGGAGGAAAATTGGTTCAAGTCTAGTCGAGGCGAGACGCGACGATATGATCAAAGAAAAGGTTACTGAAGTTGCTGTAACAATCCGGAGCATCGTCTCCGTTCGAGTCTGCTCAGCGAATTCAATATTGAACAAAAGTGCATCATATGTTCTTTCTGTGGGCTTAATTAATGGGGATCTTCTCGAAGTCAAAAACCAGCAACCTTTTTTTCACAAGGTTGCTTCCTCTTGTTTCTTTTTTCCATTTTATATAATTATCAAGAGACAGAATGTTGATGATATCATGCTGAATCTAGTCATTGTCCACCCATAGCCAAGATTCATTTCAACTGAGTGCCTAAAACAAATCTTAAATATTCTTGGGTTGCATGATGGATTTATTTCGTGAAGGAATGTGAGCACAAGTGAAAAGAAGACCTAAGATACAAGTAATGGAAGACGTTAAATAAAAAGAATAGCGAATTGCAAAACACATGTACCTGTTTGGATCTTCTCATACCTCCATCTTTTAAGAAATATGGCAATAGCACGCACAGTGGTTTGCAAGAGATTAAGGAAGAACACATTACGAAAAGGAAAAAGCTTGGAAGACGTCAACCATGGTAATTAAGCCAAAACATCAACCAAGAAACAAACCGTCTGCTCCCATAAGTTTGCATCAACACGTGGATGTGCAGCAACGTATTTATCATATTTCTTGAACCTAATAGGGGTCGATTTCGTTACATGTTTATATATCAAAAGACCCTTCAAGTCATGTCAATTTATGCTTCAAAAGAACCCTTCTAAACTTTGCTTGTATTTCATGTTGTAGGAAGCAAAAATCAGAAGAAAATATGTAAACAGTTGGATGTGCGACCTAGGTCGCTCCACTACGGTGTAGACACTAGCCAAGGTCCCAGCCGTTTTCGCACCCACTCCCGTGAACTATCTTGCGTTGCTGCCCGCATAATCTTCTGGAGTCCGGGCCATGGCTCGTCCAGCGATAACTCCTGGAAGCGTCCGTATGTACACGGGCGACCTTGCCTGTGACCTAAGTCGTGGCACGGTTTTTCGTTTTTCTCAAGCGGTTCTTCACGGAGGGACTATATATTTCAGGGATAAACGTCGTATGGGGGGAATGTATCCCGTAATATGAGAGAACTTGAGAGTTGAGGCCATGACTCACTAGCCTTTTAGAGATTTTTTTCACTATTTCTTCCATTTATAACAATGTAAGCTTTATGATTTCAAGTATGAGTAGTTAGGTCTCTAATTTCCAGCAATGTGTATGTAATCAACTTTGAATTTGGTTTTGTTGAGACTTGATTGTTCTTTGACATCATTCAAAATTAATCAAGCAATTCTTGATTTAATGATCTTCATGTTGAATTGAGTAATCTGAGTTGGATCCCTCTTATCAAACTTGAGTTTGAATTGCTAGATTCGGTTTTAAATCCTTAATTTTTCTTAGCTTAATCGTAATAGCAATAATTAATCTAATTAAAGTTTAAGTTGATTGATAGCAATGCAGGATTGTTTAATCTAACTCAAATGATCGAGGCCCGATTGTTGATTAGTTTTGGTGTTTGTTTAGGCCTAATGCAATTAGTAATTGAACTCCTAGTCCATGACTAGATCAGATTAGCTAATTTGAGATCAGTTTTTGAAGCTTTCATGTTAGTCGTGCTTTTATAACAAATGAGACATTTATGCCAATGTGAATTCAATTGAGAAAATATTTAATTAGGTCAGTCAATTCATAACCTAAAGAATAGTTGATTGGTACCCGATTGTTGGATCGCTTCTCATTATTTTTTACAATCTTCGTTTATTTAATTTACATGCTTAGCTTAATTAAAAATATCCCCCTCGCGCTTGCTTACATGTTGACATCGAGTCTTTGAAAATACCGACTCTCTTAAAACATGATTTTTATGCAATAGGGTAATAGGCATTATTTACACTTATAATTTGTTGGACTAAGCTACTAGAATGTTGACATCAGGTGTTGAACGAGGAAATTTGGAAATAATAGGTGTGGTGCCTTGCCGGGCGGCTTATGCCGCATTAAAGGTCGCCTAGACGGACTAAGATGTGCACGTCATCCACGTATGCACCGTTTGAGGATAATTGAGGATGGGAGACTTTGGCTAGGGCGCCTCATGCCATAGAGAGGTCACCCCATATGCCATGAACGAGTTAAGGAACCGGGTGACTTAGGGTTCAACCGACCTATGTTGCCCTATAAAAGACTTGAGCTTGGGTTTGGTCGATCAACGTTAAGTCGTCAGGTGTTGTTGGGGGAAGCTAATTCATTTTTCCTTCTTAGTTTTTCTTGATCACTCTCAACTCTTCTCATCTCATTTATTCCTACCTCCTCCTCTGTATTCAATAACTCAACTTTGATACTATTATAAAACAAAGTTTCAATAACAAACAATCTCTGAAAACAGAGAACACAGTGATAACCTGCCTGGTTAACGTACAAATTCACAGCAACATAAAACTGGTGCTATGATTCAAATCAGAAAGCAAAAATTAGAAGGAACACAAAAATTTACGTGGTTCGGCCTTTAGCCTCCATCCACCAAGCAGCAGGGACAAACTCACTATCAAATCGTGGAGATTACAAAGGTTCACACACAACTTACACCATAATCTGCTCTCACACTTTCTTAGAAAAAAACACACGTCTTTTTTCTTTTCTTTGTAACTGTCTTGCAGTTACTTACTGCTGCCCCATTAATTAGGAATTAATTATTGCTTTTAATAATATAGCCAAATGAGAAATAGAGCCATAATACAACGATATCCATCTTGGCGAGATTTCTACAAACCACATGTGAACCAAATTTGTAAGCATCTGCCTTCATATTTCAAAGTATCTCCACCTGGGCAAAATGTCTTTCAACAATGTGTGAATCAACACAAAAAGTTAAAGCTTACCAATACAGTGAGCTAAAGCTTCACTCCAACAACTAAATCTCCACTTTCCAACAATCCAAAAGAACCAAAAAATCAAATTCCCTGCTGCTCGAACCAAAACAATCAAACCGGTACAATATTAGCCAAGTTTTTACAATGCTCAAAATTGGCTGCAACAACCACTTTTGTCAACATATCTGCTGGATTATCTTCGATTGGAACTTTCTTCAAAACAATCGTCTTCCTATCTAGAACCTGTCTCACAAAATGAGATTTTACATTTATGTATTTGGTACTTTGGTTCTAGAATGATAAACCTAGTGTTTAGCCAAATTTATTGCACTTTGGCTATCATAATGAAGCTCCACTTGATTTTGAACAATGCCCAATTCTGAAATGAGCCCTTGCAGCCATAAAGCTTCTTTAATAGCTTTTGTAGCAGCTTTATATTCTTCCTCTGTGGTAGATAATGCTATTGTAGCTTGCAAAGTAGATCTCCAACTAATCGGTCCTCGTGACATGGTAAATAAATACCCTGTTGTAGATCTACTCTTATCCAAGTCATCGGCAAAGTCAGAATCAACATATCCAGTCAAAAAAATTTCGTTCCGCATTCTTGTTTTTGAAAACATAAACCAACATAAATTGTTCCATGTAAATACCTCAATATCCATCTTGCAGTTGGCCAGTGATCCTTACCCGGATTGTGTATATATCCACTCACAACACCGATCGCTTGTGCGATATCCGGGCGAGAACAAACCATGATATACATTAAGCCACTAGCAAGATTAGCAAATGGAATACAAACCATCTCTTTCCTTTCATCTTCTGATTTAGCACAAGATTTTGCACTAAGTTTAAAATGGGTAGCAAGAGGAGTACTTACAGATTTTGTTGCATCACCAACATTAAACTGTAGCAACAACTTTTTCAAGTATTGCTTTTGAGTCAAATACACGACACCTTTCTCTCTGTTTCTAGTTATTTCCATCCCAAAAATCTTTTTGGCCTCACCAAGATCCTTCATCTCAAAATGATTCTTCATTCGAGCTTTCAACTCTTCAATCTCTTTCATACTCTTTGATGCAATTAACAAATCATCTACATAGAGCAACAAATAGATGAAACTTCCATCTTGCAACTTTTTGAAATAAGCACAATAATCATAGTCACTTCTCAAATATCCAATACCTCTCATGAAACCATCAAATTTCAAATACCACTGCYTTGGTGACTGTTTTAAACCATAAAGTGATTTTTGTAGTTTACGGACCAAGTCTTCTTTTCTTTTAACCTTATATCCAACGGGTTGAAACATGTAAATCTCCTCATTCAAATTACCATTTAGAAAGGCTGTTTTAACGTCTAATTGCACCAACACAAATTCGAATTGTGCAACTAAAGCTTACAAAATACGAATAGAGTAATGCTTTACAA